ATTTTAAATTACCTCGACCTGCTCCTCTCCCTGATGTCCACTTGCCTCTGAACTCCTCCTCTCTGGCATCGCTCATTGTCACTTTGGAACCATAGAACACTCCAAGTGTTATTAAGGGATTTTTTGACCCTTCCAACATGCCATCCTCATCTAGTGGAACCCATCATAGGAATGATAAGCTGGGAACAAAAAAATGCCTGGTCCAACAGTAGAGATACTACCAGGGAAGTTTGAACCAGCTATGTTAAATATATGACCCTAAAATCTGTAAATGACCAGCCCATCATAGTTCTTGACTTATTGGAAGTCGTAAGATGCATTGTAAAGGCCACAGAGGGATGGAAGCCTCCTTGTGGAGGTAATATCACAGGAAGAAGCTGCATGCCTTAGTGCCTTATCTGGAGTGTCTGGTGCAGAGGTGTCATGTAAACCTCATGTCACCCTCAACCAGTACAAATGGGTGGTTTTCTGCAGAGACCTCCTCCAATACTCTGAAGATAAGCTCCTCCAGGAAATAGTTGATGAGGGAGCAGTACAATGCTTTTAAAGGAAGATTGAAAGTGTGATAACACCAACACCATCCTTTCTTCTGACATTCAAGAGCTTAGTTTTGCCTTCTGCTGTACATTGTGCCTGGTACAACTTGCCCGTTAAAACATACATACCCAATCCTCACTGTTGCTTCCACTTCCAGAATTTTAGACATGTAACACTATCATGCCAATGACTCCAGAAGGGCCTTCCTCCTGTATGTGTTTCATGTGGTGGAAATCATTTGGAAGACTACCCTGGCCGAGTGAAGTGCTTCCATTGTGGTGGAGCTCACCCAGCATCTTCACTTGCATGTGTTAAATATGAATTTGAGAAAGAGATCCTCTTAATACACACTCAAGAAAGGGTGTCTTTTCCTGAGGCAAATAAACTTGCCCTGACACGACTCCTCCAACCAGGAGTAACATTTGCCTCTGTTGTTCATAAATTTCTTCAACAACTAACAACGATCTTAGCTGCTCCACAACTGCCAATACCCGTTCCGCCTTCCCAACAAGAAGCTGTAAGAGAGATCTGTGCTACTTTCCATCAGAAGCATTCTTGCAGTGAGGACTCCCTGGAGGAGAGTCCTCCAAATAAAACCCAACCTCCTCAGTGCTCTACTGAGTTAGTAGAGGCTGAAGTAATAACAAATGCTTCTGCCATGTCCCTAGAGATTCCACTTACTGAAACTAAGGTTGCAGGCAGAATTTAAACAAAACCTATGCCTTGCCCCTCTTAACATAAAGTTTCAAGAAAGATAATGAGCACTTCAGGAGGGAGGAGTGATGACTCTGCTGGGCTCATTGTTCCTGACACTAGTAAGCCTGAAACATCTACAAAAATTAAGTAAAAATCCTAATAAAAAGGAGCTGTAGGTGCTAAGAAACTACCCTTTCTAAAGGACTTTGCCCCATATAACAATAATAACCTTCTATGCAATCGGTATTTGTCTTGGCACTTACACTTGCTCTCTCTGGGAGGAAAACTGTATAGTATTGTCTTAGCTCCGACCTATCTCCTCACCCCCTCTGCCTTTCAACTTTTAAGTATTGTGCCGCAACGTAGTACCAATGATTTGGGCGGAACTGACATTAACTCCACCTATCTGCTGGTACCCCATCGTTAAATCCATTGCTAATCGTACTTCTTAAGCCCCTTTCAGTCTGGTCTAGAATCTATCAATACGTTTGCACTGCTCTCTACATCCTCTTAAGTTCGCCAAGTGAGTCTGCAGCGCCACTTTATCTCTATATTCTTCCTACTCATCTTGATCAGAGCAATTCGATCATCTCTCACAATCCTATACATTGCAACTTTCACCTATTAACACAGATGCTTTACCTCCATCCAGACAATTTTACACATTACCCCATGTCTATTCTCCCTCCTCCACCTCTTGTGTACTCTCTCCACTATGTTTCCACTTGAAAATTGCACTAGTGCACCCATCTGCTGAAAATGAACTTTCGATCTGCACCCTCTACGCCGTAAGAAGACACGACTAGTGCCACATATCATACTATTGAACAGTTCTTCTCTTCACCTAGTCTCCGTATGCACTTCACTTAAACTCACTCCCTTCATTAATTTTACTCAATTTACCAATGGTCAGTGCTTGGTTACTCTTACTCTACTTGTAAAGTCTAGAGCTCCTACCGCTCATCTCTCTATCTGCCGGCGCATGCGACATCAAGTAAGGGTTTGTACCGCAGCTTTCCAGCCATGTTCCATTGGTATAGCCGGAATTTCTATGAACCAGACATTCGCTTAAAAGTGTAGCAGATGGCCCCAGCTGTGCTCTCCTACTACTCTTGTGCATCTCCCTTTTCTACTACCTCCTTTCTTACAAGAACCCTATCTCTCCCCCTATCTCTTCCGGCATCCCTCTCACGCGCACGTTTGGCATTGCTTCTTGATTACTACTTCGTCACCTCTTATTTACCTGAATGACTACCTCGAGCGCCATATGGAGACTGTGCTGTACGCCTCTTGCTGCCACTATACATCTTGGCCAACCATTAGGACTCGTTACAAAATTAAGTCCAACAGCCAATCCCAGCTCCTCTTGGTTCCACTTTCAGTCATACCTAACATCAAGAGTTGCCGTGAGCTGGTCCACACACAGCTCTGATCCCCATCTTATACTACTCATAGCCTCACTAATTCCCGGCCTTTAACCATGAGGACTTATCTCCAATCCCTTGTGTCCAGCAAGCAGGCTCACTCTGACGTATACATTTAATGCTAACGCCACCTGCCGACGTCCCCTGACTGTGCTAGCACACCTTTCTGGTCTCTTCCCGTATCATTCAACGCTGCCTGAGTATATTACCCCCAGTCTACATCGAATCTCCGAGAAAAGGCATTGTCGGCTGCCAGCACTTGAGCAGCCGATTGGTAACCTTCCACTCTTCTCTTCTGGTATCCTCAGATGCCTCGAGACATTAAAACATGATGCCGTCTCCTGGTTTTGTTCCTATATTTCCTGAATCATTTCTCCTTCAATGCCTTCTTCACTTCCCACCTGTCCTTTCCTTCACTGAACATCTCTTTCATTCAATGTACGCCCAGACACCTATATTTACCTCCTAGTGAATAATCAGCTCATCGATCCACCGCGTCAGGCAAATACAATTCATAACCATGAATTGATAAAGCTCCGGCCTCAACGCACGTCGCACACTCGCCTCCCATTCGATCCTTCTATGCTCTTATCACCTTCCTGTCTTACTACACTATTATCTCTTCCATACTCCATATCCTCCAATCGCCTACTCTCTCTGATTCTTCCACAGACCTACGTCGCTAGATTCAACACCTAGGTGAAGCAGGTCCTGGTTTTTATGAGGGAAGCTGATGTTCTCATTAATTAAGATATAAGTCAATTATTGTACTATTTTGACTAAAGTTTTTATTTTTCATTTTATTTATTTCATTACCCTTGATTTACATTTGAAATTAATAATTTGCCCAGTATGACCATGACTTGCAGTGCCAGGTGTGATTTTTTAAACAAGCTCAGTCAATCAATCTTGCCTGCCTTTTAGGTATGATGATCAAAAATAACAGATCCAGGAATCGCAATTCTTGGCGGACATGTACTTTGAATATAATGCACTGCATATTAACTTTACCTGTGAATTTATATAATTTTATGGTGTATGTATGTATTGCATAAGAGGAGATATAAAAAGTTTATGGTTTCAATGGCATGCGATGAAGGATCCACATAAATGTATGTATGTATAAGAGAGAGTAAAAAGTTTATGGTATTTTCAATGCAGTGGATGAAGGACATAATGAAGATATATTTCCTATAAAAATAATCAAAGGTCATCATTAATCAGGGCATCTGCCAAGATGTCACTATGGCTTTCTCAAGTGCCTAAAGAGGGTTATCTCAAGTGTCTCCCACTCACTTAATACAAGAGGCTATAAATAAATTATTAGATGGTAGTGCCTATTATCTTACTAAACGTTTCTAACGTGTTACTAACTAGTTGCTATGCACTCTCCTGAAATAGGATTGTTTAATCTTTCTTACAGCAAATTGCAAAGGGAATGCCTACATTACGTTTGAAAAATAATGTATCTCAACGTCATCACTTGCTATCCGTTAGCTACCCTCAATCCATATCCTCTTAACGAGGTCCCACAAAATGACCTAAACGAACCGACTCTATATGCCGCTCAATGCTAGCTTTATTCATTCTCCACCCACATTTTTCAGATAGTTCGCTTGCCTACAGCCTTTCTAAAGCCCAACATAATACACTTTACAGTGACCGTCTCTTAACCTACTTGTTCGTATTTTAGGTTTTTCTAGATCTTCAATTTCTCTATTAAATAAAAAAAACACATGATAGACCCTATGAGCGATTCGTAACTTCTTCCTACTCAGTCCTTAGCTTTATCGATGCATAAACTCGACCTCTGAGCATCGTTTTACTCCATCACCGGTCATTCCTGTACTTAAGATTTCTTCAACTTTCATAGAACGTGTGCCTCTCATCTTACCGGGTCATTTTAGATCTCCTTAAATGTCATGTCAAGGAAAAGGTGAATATGGAAATGTGCCTGATATAATCATTGATTCATTTTGATGGCTTGAAGATAGTTGTTTTTAATTATATGGAATTGAAAGGATTTGAATAACATGAAGGAACAAGAAAGTGAATTTGCAACCCTACATTCATCTTCCATTCAAAATATCTCCATCTAAAACTATGCAGCTTTACTTCTTTGTCTCATACTCAGACTCATCACCTCTCCATTTCTTCAATCTTCATGATGCCTTCTCCCCGATTCTTTTCTGCCCTCTTAGCTTCTCCTTTCTTTGCTCTCTCTTCCATCAATCTACTTACCTCTCTCCTTTCTCCTCTCTTCATTTTCATCTTTAACTCCATGCTCCTGTCCTCCTCCTACTTCCTCTTATCCCCGTTATATGGCCCGTACAAAGTCGGCGACGCCCAAATCATTCCTGCCTTGCCTTCCTCTTCCCCTTTCCGTTCCAAACTTAAGTCCGTTTGACTTATCCCCACGGCCTACTACTTCTGCCTTGTCCCACCCTACCTTTACGTCACACTTCTGCCATTTTCATTGATTTTCCTCCTCCTTTCTCTTCACCCGCCTCCCTCTTCTTTCATTATACCACCACTCACTCAGTTCCGTCTACCAACTTATCCCGACATCTTCCTCACCTCCTCCTCCATCCTTAACTCTCCACCTCCTCCCCTCTTCCTTCACTTTCGTATTCAGTAGCGATTGGGATACACTCACCTCAACCCATACCATGTTGATCAGTCCTCCCTTCAGTTCTTCTTCGACGATATTCATCCACCTTACTATCCTCTCTCTCATGAGCCTCCCGTCCTCCTCTTCTCGTTCCACCTCCTCCCTCCTCCTCCTCTTCCTCTTCTTCAATCTCTTTTTCTCCGTCTTGATTTCCTCTTCCTCCTCTTCTTTTTCTTTTTCTTTTTCTTCTTCTCCTTCTCTTTTTCCATCTCCATCTCCATCACCTCTCCTCCTTCTCTTCTTTTGCTTCTCCATCTCAATCTCTTCCTCCTGATTGTAAAAGTCTACATTTTCATTATTATTATTTTCTTTATTATTATTAAAGTTATCTTTATTATGGTTATTATTATTATTGTTGTTGTTTATGTTATCATCATCATCATCATCATTTGTTCTAGAGATTTTTTTTCTAAAGTGAAATCTTGGTGCATTGATGATTATTGATAAACAGAAGATACAGCCAGAGAAAAGACTCAAAGAGTTAGAAGAGCAAATAATTAATTATTCTAAATAGTACAGAATTGTCTGTGTTCATAATATGTATTCTTTCCAGCTTATGGTTAATTTTATTTGAATATTTAATGCATCCAGCATATGATATGAGTGTATAAATCACATTTGTTCTTATTTGTTTTACAGTACACAGCAGACTTTGTCAAGGATCACCTCTTCAAGAACACCATAGACAAAATCAAGCAACTCCGTTCCCAAGCCAGTATTGCCAAAAATGGAAACAATAACATCCCTGGAACCAGCAGCAAGAATACAAATGGAAATGGAAAGTCTAGTACTGCAACCAGCAAGATATCAACACCAAGCAGCACCACAGCCACTTTGAACAGTGTTAACAAAAAGTCCTCAAGTAGTAGCACCAGCAGCAGTGAGGCTGAAAGTGCCAAGAAAAGCAGTACCAGCATGCAGAGGAATAAGGAGAAAGCTGAGTGGCCAGTAGCAGTACCAGTAATCTGAGGTAACAACAATAGTCAGTCTGACAAAGTCAGACAAGACCTCAGTGTAGAGGAGAAAGGGGTTTGTCCAGGTAGTGGTGTAGAGACCATCTCACAGCCCAGCAGTGGGTCCATCTCTTCTTCCTCACCCTCATCCTCTTGCCATGCCTCCACCTCAGCCAAGCCAGAAGACCCTGAGGTGTCCTCCAAGAAGGATGATCTGTACAACAGTGTGAGCCTTAAGAAACGTAACTCAGTCTCGGGCAGCAGTGCCAATGGTAATAATAATAATAACAATAGCAATAGCAATGGTGCCAGTAAGGAGAAGAAAGATGACTCCAGCTCCAGCAGCAGCAGCAGCAGCAGCAGCAGTAGCAGCAGCCAGTCTTCAGGGTACATAGACAGTCAAAAGAACATAAACTACACTAGACTATTGACGGACCAAATCATGGCAGTAGACAAGCAAGTGGTGCAGCATTGCAAGAGCAGGACAGACATGTCAGGTGAGATTTTTGTTTTCATACATCCCCTTTATCAGTTTTCTTTTACATGTCCCTTTTTTCTTGATGTTATCCCCCATTTTATCTTCTATTCACCATTCTTTACATATCACTCCCTTTTTTATGATGCACTTTAACATTGACCAGCAATCATTTTTAACAAATGTAAAAAAAAGGGATGAATGAAAATTAGTATATTCACAGTGCAAGGGATGCATTTAACTGATTCCATTTCACAAGGGTGCATATCTGATTCCAGTATCTTCCAATTGAAAACTTGTATTTATATAAAAAATGTGAATGAAACTGGTCCACTTCATTTAGGTCTCTTTCCTATTTAAATTCATACAAATACTTAATATAATGTGACCCTTTTTTAAGCTAGCTCATGCCATATTGGTTTCCTGTACCTATTTTTCTCCATTTTTATGGGTAAGTCTGCCTGTTTTTCCCTCTCTTTTTCCCCCCCACTCCACGACTCTCCATCATCATAGGATATCTCTCTTCTCCTCTCTCCTCGCTTCCTCTCTCCCTCCTCCTCTGCGGTCTTCCTAGTCTCTCTCTCTCTTCTCTCTCTTTCCCTCCTCTCTCTCTCTCTCTCTCTCTCTACTCCCCTCTCTCTCTCTCTCCCTCTCTCCCCTCTTCTCTTCTTCTCCCTCTCTTCTCCTCTCTCCTCTCCCTCTCTCTCTCTCTTCTCCCTCTTCTCTTCTCTCTCCCTCTCTCCTCTCTCTTCCCTCTTCTCCTCTTCTCCCTCTTCCTCTCTTCCTCCCTCTTCTCTCTCTCTCCTCCCTCTCTCTCTCTCTTCTCCCTCTTCTCCTCTCTCTCCTCTCTTCTCTCTTCTCTCTCTCCTCTCTCTCTCTCTCTCTTCTCCCTCTCCTCTCTCTTCTCCCTCTTCTCCCTCCTTCTCTCTCTCTCTCCCTCTTCTCTCTCTTCTCCCTCTCCCTCTCTCTCCCTCTCTCTTCTCTCTTCTCCCTCCTCTCCCTCTCCCTCTTCTCCTCTCTCCCTCTCTCTCTCTTCTCCTCTCTCCTCTCTCCCTCTTCTCTTCTCTCCTCTCTCCCTCTTCTCTTCTCTTCTCTCTCCCTCTTCTCTTCTCTCCTCTCTCCCTCTCTCCCCCTCTTCTCTCTCTCTCCCCTCTTCTCTCTCTTCTCCTCCCCTCTCTCTCTCTCTCTCTTCTCTTCTCTCTCTCCCTCTTCTCTTTCTCTCCCTCTCTCTCCCTCTTCTCTCTCTTCTCCCTCTCTCCTCTCTCTCTTCTCCCTCTCTCCCTCTCCCTCTTCTCTCTCTCTCTCTCTCCCTCTCTCCCTCTCTCTCTCTTTCTCCCTCTTCCTCTCTTCTCCTTCTCCCTTCTCCCTCTCCCTCTCCCTCTCCCTCTCTCTCTCTCTCTCTCTTCTCCCTCTCCCTCTTCTCTCTCTTTCCTCTTCTCTCTCTTCCCCTCTCCCTCTCCCTCTTCTTTCTCTTCTCCCTTTCCCTCTCTCCTCCCTCTCCCTCTTCTCTCTTCTCCCTCTCTCTCTCTCTTCTCCCTCTCTCTTCTCTCTTCTCTTCTTCTCTCCTCTTATCTCTCTCTCCTCTCTTCTCTTTCCCTCTCCCTTGTATCTTCTCTCCTCTCTTCTCATCTCTACTCTCTTCTCTTCTCTCTCCCTCGTCTTCTTCTCTTCTCTCTCTTTCCCTATCCCTCTCCCTCTCTTCTGTCTCTCTCTCTACCTCCCCCTCCCTCTCCTCTCTCTCTTTCTCTCTCTCTACCTCCCCCTCCCTCTCCTCTCTCTGTTTTCTCTCTCTCTACCTCCCCCTCCCTCTCCTTCTCTCTCTCTTTCTCCATCCCACATGTAATTTTCCCTCATTCATCTGGGCTTCTACACAGGCACAACAGCAGTAATTGCCCTGTTGGATGGTGAGCTGTTAGTTATTGGCAATGTTGGCGACTCCAGAGCAGTCATGGGTGACCTCAAGGGATCAACCATTCCACTCTCCTTTGATCACAAGCCAAACCAGGTTAGAGGCAAACATTTGCTGTTGTCTGTATTATTATCATTTTAATTATTGCTCTCATTGTTACTGTTATTACCTTTTATTAATTTATTACCAAACCTATTAATTGCATTTGCATAAACCTCAAAACAATCTTTGCTTAATATCTCTTTCCATTCTTTCTTTGTCTCCGAGTAGCTGAAGGAGAGACGGCGAATCAAGGAGGCTGGAGGCTTTATCACTTTCTCAGGTGTGTGGCGTGTGGCAGGTATTCTGGCCACCTCCCGTGCCCTCGGAGATTTCCCCCTCAAGGAACCTCGCAAACTGGTCACAGCCGAGCCAGATGTCCTCACTTTCAGTCTTCGTGATCACAAGGTATCTACCAAAGATATGACTTTACCCTTTTTTTTTTTTTTCTTCCATCCTACCAGTAGCATTGTTTTTTGATCTTGCCTTCCATTGATATTTGCATATTTCCATTTCCTCCTTTTCTAATAATTATCATACTTTGCTGCTTCTTTTCCAGGCTCACTTTGTCATCCTGGCCACAGATGGACTGTGGGATGTGTTTAGCAATGAGGAGGCAGTAGCATATATCCGTGACCACATCCACGAATCAGACTTTGGCGCCAAGTCCTTGTGCATGAGTGCTTACTACCGAGGCTCACAGGACAACATCACTGTTGCCATCCTCAATATAGACAAGTTGGGCTTGTGAATGATGTATTCATTCTTCTTGATCATTTCCGTAGTTCAAAAAAATTAAATCTTGAGAGCCATAACCCAGTGGGCAACTGACTACATATATTATATATATAATATATATATATATATATATATATATATTATATATATATATATATATATATATATATATATATATATATATATATAATTCCTCAATAGGAAAAAAGGTAGGCTCATTTATCATAGGTTTATTAACCAGAAATATTAACTATAGAGCTCTTTTCTGTACTTTTGATTTTATTCTAATATACCATGGCTTGACCAGTTCATTTAAAGGAGTCAGTGGGAAACAGATTTCTTAAAAAGTAATTTTTTTGGTTATTCAGTTGCTTTATATGTTTTGGGTGTCTCTCTCTGCTGATGGCTTGCATTATGTCTCAGTGGAAGGTTTATTAGAAGGCTAGTCAAGTTGTATTTTGCCATGGCAGAATTAGAAGAATGCTAGTGTGATATACTACTCAACGATATGTAAATATATAAACACTATATTACATACATAGGTAAGGTTTTGATACGGAAGGCTACTCTATTTTGAGATTCAGAGCGAAATAATTCTGTGGAACTTTTTCTCTTCTTTTCTTTTTTCTATTACATTATTAACAAGATCATTATAAGGATATACTTTTTTTTTGTTTCCAAAAAGAAATGTATGCTTTCAGAATGAAAAAGTCAGTATAACTATAGGAAGAATCAGTGGTTGATATATAAATGTTTTAAGGTGGAAATACATGTATAAGGAAATAAATATTACTGAAGAAAAATAATAGAACCATATTTATCTGACTGCATATGCTTTGGACCTCCGTCCCTTAGGCTCTTGTTCTGTATGTTTTCTCTAGCAAGCTGTATGTCCTTTTTCTGTTAGGTGTAAAAAATAGAAAGATGTCAGTGAATGAAACTTATCAGTTCAGTATGCAGGGAAGAAACACAGATTTCTGTATTGTGCAATAATATTTATAGTGTTTTTGTATTTTTTGATGGGAGCCCTTCTTGTGCATTTATCAAAAGTTACAAACACCAAATTGTCTTTAGTGCTTGCTATGTATTTATTATTAAGGCACTGCTTATTACTCAGATGATAATTGTTACCAGTCAGGATCTTTTGATACTGTAGTTCATTATGTTAGCACACATATTGTTCAATTCAGCTGCAGCCATACAGGAAGGCTTCATTATGTTAAATCATCATGTTCATGTATTCTTTAACGTCAGTCAGAACAAGGCATATGTGTAAAAAGCTAAATACTTTTAAGGATCTCTGTTGAATAGCTCATTGAGTGGCATGGTTCTCCTCACATCATTCCTAGGATTTTTTTTTTCTTTTTCTGCCAGATTTTTTTTTTCTCTTTCACTTCTATTAAGTATTTTTTGTAGGTGTTAATTTCATATATTTACATTTTACTTTTTTCACGTATTTGTGAAGAAATAATTGTGTATTAAAAAATTATATGCTCAAATGGTGTTTCTGTTTATGCAATCCTTTTTGTTTGGTATAAATAGTTGCATCTCTCCAATATTGAAGGCGTCCCACAAGGAAGTGTGCTTAGTACCACTTTATTCCTTCTTGCTGTAAATGACAGTCTCAGTCCTACCACCAGGAGCCCGAGCATCACTATATGTTGATGACTTAACCATCTATGCATCTTGGGCCACCAACCATGGCTTTCGCTTCTCTACCTCCAAATCTTTCCCCATCCTTTTCTCTCGCTCATGTATGGTCCCCAAACCCCAACTCTTCTTATATAACGCTCCACTCCAATACTGTTCTTCTGGCAAATTCCTAGGTGTTATATTTGATTCCAAATTGTCCTGGCGAGACACTATCTTGTACATCAAAGAAAAAGCTCAACACCGCCTCCAAATCTTACAAACTCTTTCACACATCTCCTGGGGCTCAGATCGCAAAACTCTCCTCCATCTTCATGTTACCTTGATTCTCTCCACTCTAGATTATGGATGCAATATCTACTCCTCTGCCTCAACCTCTCTTCTTGCTCACCTTGATACAATCCACCACAGCGGTCTCCACTTAGCCCTAGGCGCCTTCTGCTCCTCCAGTTGAGAGCCTATATACTGAATCAGGCATGGCGTCCCTCTCTCGGCCTTGAGCCCTTCTCTCTCTCCGATGTTATGCTCAATTTCACCAATTTTCCCTTACCAAACTAACTATTCCATAATCCTTGCTTCATACCTTTACCTCTTCTCCACATTTACCAACTCTTCTCCCATTCCCCCTTTCCTCACCTCTGACCTCTTCCACTTTCTGTCCATTCCATTCCTCCATGGCTTATACCTAACCCCTGTATTTGCTCCTCAGTTTTCCTTGACCCACCAAAATCAGATATTCCCCCCTCTATCCTTCTCACTCATTTCCTTGACCATGTCTCCATTCATTCCTCCAGCATTCATGTTTACACTGATGGTTCCAAATCCATCTCAGGAGCTGGATTCGCAGTAACATTCCCAAATTGCACTTTCAAATACACCCTCCCTCCTGAATCTAGTGTCCTTACTACAGAACTATATGCACTCCTTTTTGCCTTAAGACACATATACTCGTCCTCCTCTTCCTCTTTTACTATTTTAACCCTCATAAAGTCTATGCACTCAACCAATCCCCTTGTCTGTAAGATCCAGAACTAGTTGTTCTATCTATCCACATGTCACAAATCTGTCAGATTTTGCTGGGTACCCAGCCATGTTGGAATCCCTGGCAATGAACAGGCAGGTACTCTTGCACGCTATGCCGCAATGTCCACATCATCTCAACTACACTTCTCACATATTCCAGCTACAGATTACTACCCCCACTTTAAACCTTGTAAACCCGATGGCAATCTTTTTGGTCAAGACTCCACAACAATAAATTACATACCGTAAAACCATCAATCTCCTCTTGGTCAGCTCCATTTCACAAAAACAGATGTTGGAGACGGCCCTCGCACACTTATGTATTAGCCACACTCGCCTAACACACGCCTATCTAATGTCACGCTCAGACCCGCCCCTATGTCCTCTATGTAACGTCCCTCTTTCAGTCCCACACATTCTCTTGTCCTGTCCACGCTTTAATACAGTACATACCTCTGCTTTTCCACACCTATCCTCCCTTCACTGACCTCCCAACATATCAGACATCCTTACAGAATCCCACAGCTTCTGCCTTGACAACCTGTTCTCTTTCCTCAGATGCATAAATATCTTTCACATGATCTAACTCCCTTACCAAATCCACCATAACCTTTTCCCTCATCTTCAACCTTTCAACACTACTCTAGATAGTTGACACATAGCAACTATCACCTGACATCTCCCTTTACTATTCCTTCCTATAGTGCTATATGACCTTAGATGTCTAGCTCATTTATCTTAACCATTAACCATTAACCATCTCTCCAATATACTTTCTTATGAGCATAATTCTTGAACTAAGATTCTGGAAAATATATTGTCCTGATATTATAATACAAAACTAGGTTCAAGTTCATCCAAGTGATTTATGGAAGGATAAATATTTAAACAGTTTTATTTTCATTTCATTCAGTCTGCTCATCAGTAGAAAATATGGAATAGGATTGTAAAGAAGACAATGCACACTGAAAGAACATTCCATTTACTAATTAATACAAAGACTGCCATTAAATGTGTGAAGTACATACCAATATCTGGCCAGCCAGACACTTGGGGTTTGGCACTCATCAGTCTATTGCCAAGTACTGCAACGGCCAGCTGATTTGACACCAAGCTGCCAAATGCATTCTGGTCATTGTTAAAATGGGTTTATGTGTTGGCTTATTCATGTTCTTATCAATTCCTGTGACACTTGATGACTTGCCTCAGGTACATGTAGCAGCATTACCTGGCAAAGCTGCTCTTAGGCTGGAAAAAAACTTCAAATCGGTTAAGTATAACAAAGGGTAAATGGATTGTACATCTGGTTTCAGTACATGGCATAACTTGGTGCTCAACTGAGAACTGTCACTCCAAAGTTTGATACACTTCTTGAGCAGATGTGGATGTAAGGAGTAATTTGAAACATGGTCATACCACCACACTACTTGTGAATCATCTTCTAAAGTTGTCCTCTTGTACACAACTTCTATTAAACATTCCTGCATCGTTGTTTGGGTATTGTTACTTTTGAAAAAAATTACCAAGAACTATTGTTTCATTCAAGACTAATAACAAGATAAAGCATTAAAGGTAACTTGACACACTTCCCTCATACCACATGTGATGGTGTTGGTAACAGATGGAGTCACAGATGCAATCCCATTGAGAGAGTGAGTGTGTGTGTGTTAATGTATGGGTGTTTAGTGACTGTGAATATTTTAGTCTGTGCCTGTGTTATGTGCAGTTATACATACTCTAGCATTCATAAATATGCAATCAAACAGATAAGCCTCATTTAATGACACCTCACATATGACTCATGAAGTATGAAACACAGCTCAGGCTGATGTATTGAATGTTTATCTTCAAACCACAGAAAATAATACCTTCATGATTTATCTGCCCAACTGGAAGGAACCAAAATTGGTTAATAAAATCACCCCAAAACCGAGAAAAAAATTAAAACAAATGATATAGATATCTAAACCATTTCCTTTAAAATTACACCCTATATTCCCTCTCTTAAACTTGGATCTGTTTATGAAGCAAAAATTCATGATGCAGCAAAGGTCTGAATCCTTATGATGATAAGTCCCAGTACTCGTCAAATCAGTATTTATATGCCTCTAACATGTATCACCAGTGAAAGTATATGCAGAATGATGAACAGAGCATAGCTTATCAATAATCTAATTTCTTTCTTGTCATACACCCAGTAAAATTTTGTGTGTGTGTGTTTTAAGCGTGTATATTTAATGTGTGTGTGTTTTAAGCATGTATATATATATAATAATAATATATATGTATAATATATATATATATATATATATATATATAATATATATATATATATATTATATATATATATATATATATATATATATATATAATATATATATATA